TAATTAGTTATTTTGCATTTTTTTATATTTAATATAATGCTATACAGAGTGTTTCTGGAGAAACGCAAACGGTATGGATTTGAAATTTTAATAGAATATACAATTTGATTTAGACTATACATAAAGTCAATAGTTTTCAAGATATTAATTTTTTTCGTTAAAATGCACGTTAATCAAAATAGCCTCTAATTTGTTTGTTATTATGTTTGTTGACATGGGGTTGGAATTTTTGGAATATTAAAACATTGTTTAGTTTTTTAAAGGTTTTTCAACAAATACCTTGAGAAAAACCACTTGAAATTAGGCAAACTTCAAACAATAACAACGTTTTTATTATAAATGTAAAACCCTGTATGTTTTAACATAATCAAATAAAACATTAAAGAATCTTTCGATTGGTATTATAGTAACTCTTTCCTAAAGTTAAAATTTCAGAGACATTTAACAATTTCTAATATTCAATACTATTTTGTATCAACAAACCTCTGAAATTCTACATGTGGTTTAATGTAACAGTATCCATGGTTACCACCAAATCTGTCATTGTTTAAAATTAATTAAAATATTTGATTGAAAAAATAATAACTCAAAAAATATTGACTTTAGGTATAGGATATGGTATAGCCATTTTACTCAGAATTTTATGTAGAATTAAATAATGTAAAAATATATGAGGTATTCCGGTAAAACAGGAAGTATTATTTTGTTTAAAATAATTTAGGAAAGCGAATACTTTACGCTATTAAAATTTTAAATCGATGTCTCGCGATTCCCTAGAAACTATATTAAACGTCATTTATGTGTTATGCTTTACTTAATTATTAATAAAAGACATACAATATTTGTATAAAAATGACAAAATGTACTAAACTAAGCATTTATGAATACTGCTACTGCTAATTCAAAACTGATCCTGGCCACAGAAACATCATTTGCATAAAAAAGTTAATATATCAAATACTAGTCAAATATCAATACTTTCACGTGCTATACTCAAATTTATAAAACAAAGTTGCTTCTTCGATTATTTACCCTTTAAAAATTGTTAAATTTTAAACTAAATTATTACCAGCGCCCCCTGTACGTTATAATCTAAACAAAATTTTTTCATGGATTAATTGTCATTAGTAAGATCTACATTTTGTCCAAATTTCAAATCGATACGTTTTGAAATAAAAAAGTTATTTAAAAAAAATGAAATTTCTTCATTTTTAACACAGCGAAGAAAAAAATTAAAATAAAAACAAAGTTGTCAATGGACGAGATTTTTTTTTTGAAAATGTACTGCATTAAGATGTAGAAATAAGGTAAAAAAGTTTCAATCGATTTCTTGAACCCTTGCAAATCGACCGTTCGATCCTTTCGCGAAACCGTAGTTAAATATTATTTTGTTTCAAGAAACCTTTGACGGGTAAGTTGACGGTATCTATGGTTACCACGCAATCTGTCATTGTTCAAAATTTAATGGCGTCAATTTTTTAGGTTGTTATAAATAATTTGTTCACTAACTAAGTTTTTTATAAACAAAATTACTGATGCAAAATAGCAGTCAGTGTCTTATAAAAAAAAACAAGCCAAACATTCTTAAAATTTAAAAGTATTACAAACAAAAATCTACAAAGCTGTAGGATGTCAACTAGTTGAAGCACTAGCTCATTGGAGACAATAAAATATAAAATTAATTTTAGGAAATACTTTCATAACAAAAAGAATACGTAACTGTAACAATTTAATAAACCAACAATATTTTAGTCAAGAAGAGCTACGACTAATGTAAAAGGAAGAATTAAAAAATGCTTGAACGTAAATGGAGGACACTTTAAAAATTTAGTAATAAAATTTTGTTTAAAATATTTTAGAAAAGAATATAAAGTATTGTTTGTAACTCGTTTTATAAACTTTTCTAGATACTCGTTTTATTAAACACTCGCTAACTATTGTTAAATGGCAATTTTTAAGTGCTTTTCAAGGTTACATAAAGGGCGTTTCCATTTAAAAAAAATTGAGTTGGAGTGGTTACAGCCCCAGGGGTTGCTTAGTAGTTTTGTTGTCATACTCCCCCCCCAAATCTTAGAAACGGTTTTGGGAAATTTTTGATTGAGCATTGCTCATTTTTAAATAGACATCCTCTATGTACCATAGACGCGTCTGACACTACTAGAATATCATTTAAATGTGTTAAGAGGTAATTTTACAGCCCAAAATATTAAAAAGTTATGGGGTCAAAAATGGTTCAAAACTGCTTTATGAAGGATGCTTGATAATAATAATAATAATAATAATAATAATAATAATAATAATAATAAATTTTTCTTTTAACTTATTTATTATTTGTTATTTTGGTTCCATTTTATGAGTTTTTATTTAATTTTACACAAGGAACCAAGGAACCAACCGTTTTATAAAACATGTTTACCTCTTGTTCTAAGGAATTTTTTTCCATATTTTGCACTATAGTACGAATAAAATTTTTGGATGGAATTCAAAAACACTCTGTATAGAGTTGGGAATATCAATCACAAACGTATAGCGCAAATAAAAAAATTTCGATTTTTTTTTAGTTATTTCGTGACGTATAAAATGATAAACAAACAAAAGTTAAATGCTTAGTTTAAAAGATATTAAACAAACTAAATGAAAATCCAGAATCTTCGAATCTACTGAGAATAAATATACTGCAGTATATTTATTCTCAGATTGTCAAGAAAAATAAAAAATATAGTGAAAAATAAAATACATCCAAGCTTTGGAAAAACATCCTAAACACAACTCATACACTGAAAAAAGGTTCCCTTAAACTAAAGTAGTCGACTCTCTTGATAAAAATTATTAGCGGCAAGAAACAATATTTTAGCATAAAAGAGTATTTATTGATAAGGAAAAAAGTTCATAGTGGAGGAAGTATAGTTCTCTTGAAAACAAATACAAAATCTCTTAAATGTTTCTTTCTTCTCAGGAGATTATTTTTTTATATTTACTCTTGAGGAAATTGTTTCGCTTAGCAAAGGTCTCGATTTTTTATATTCAACGAATTAAATGATATGAGGAGTGATTTTTCAAAAGGCCGTATTTCCATTTTTACTTGAATGTCATTTTTCGACAAAATCACAAAGGTGTGGTTAAAAGGCATGTATTAAATGGTGAATATGTTGCACAAGAATATGATGAAGAAGTGATGTATCTATGTAATGAGCCAGAGATGGATATCCTTAAAATATAAGCCTAACAAATTTTTCAATATTGTTAGCACTATAAAGATATTTTTCCATATATTTTTTTTAAAACGCTATTCAATAAAAAAGTAATATTTCACATTTCCAAAATGATTTCATACAAATACTAATAATAATAATAATAATAATAATATTTATTTCGCAAAAGCTACATACGAAACACAAAGTAAATTAAGATTAAAATTAATAAAATAGACAAATGGGTAAGTTTACATTTTTAAAAAACATAACAATTTGAGAAATTTTAAAAATGTATAAATAAATGTAGAAAGTACAAAGGTCTTATTTCCAAATAATTTTTAAAAATACCATTGCTATAAATATTTAAATTTAAACCACCAATACGACAGCAGGTCTGAAGTAGTATTATATATTCATCAGATTTTTATATTCTATATACAGTGTGTCCGTAAAGTCCCGGAACATGTGATTATTTTGAAAACGGTATTTAAAAAAAAAAACGCTGAAACACGTCAACTTTGGTATTTTTCTAGCAATATTTTGGCATATGTAGTTGTTCCAAATTCTGCCGCGTGGCGGCGCCACAATCAAAGTCAGTTTTTTTTAAATAGCAACCCTTTATTTTTGTTGCATTTTCGGATAGCTACCGTCGTCCTGAGTACATTGATATGCTACATGTGGAGGGTTACATAAGAAAATTTTTGAGAAAAGTAGGTTTTTGCCGCTGATTAAGATTTTGGTTTTGACGAACTTATTCGCTGTTACGGGGCACTATGCATTGCTAGTAAGGGATTATTTAAATCAGGTCTTTCCCAATCGCTGGATAGGTCAAAGGGGTCAAATTGAGTGGCCAGCGCGATCGCCCGATTTGAACCCTTTAGACTTCTTTTTATGGGGACCTCCTAAAAACCGCGTCTATGTAAACAGGCCTTAAAATTTGGACGACCTAAGACACCGCATTCAAGCCGAGATCCAGATGATCACTCCAGCGGTACTGGCAAACGTACAACGCTCGTTTGTAGACAGGCTGTTCCATTTCCAAATAGTTTACGGTGGACACTTTGAGCAACTGCTCTGATTGGCTTTCCAAAAACATTAAGCAACGCATAGATTGTGTAAGTTTGACAAAATACCAAAATCTCATTCGGCAGCAAAAACCTGATTTTCTCAAAAAATTTTCTTATGTAACCCCCCAGATGTGGCACATCAATGTAATCAGGACAACGGTAGCTATCCAAAAATGCAACAAAAATAAAGGGTTGCTATTTAAAAAAAACTGACTTTGATTGTGGCGCCCCCACGCGGCAGAATTTGGAACAACTACATATGCTAAAAAATTGCTAGAAAAATATCAAAGTTGGCGTGTTTCAGCGTTTTTTAAAAAAAATTACCGTTTTCAAAATAATCACATGTTCCGGGACTTTACGGACACACTGTATATCACCCTCTCCTATACAGGTTATATTCGTTTTTTAAAAATGTGTTGCAAATGGAAATACGACCTTTTAAAAAATCACTCCTTATATACAGGGTGTTTCTACTCAAAATGGACAACGTAATAGAGCTGGTAGATTTCATCGATATCAACATTTTTTTTAAATAATTATTTTTTATTTGAGCTTTTGTTTTAAAATTATCGACCTTCTTTTGTTTTTTTATAAACCTTTTTATATTTACAAAAATATTTTTAGGTTAGAAACAATTGATATATGTAAATATTTGCTAGAGAGTATAATCTTTTTAAAGATAGAGAATATCGTCGTGGGTGCCCTACTCCAACATTTAATTTAGTTCATATTTACCAACCTTTCTGAGAAACATTTCGTTACATCCCTCGGCATCGGGGTTTTCTTTCCAGTGCACGTGTCTGTATCTGAGATTTCCGAGGAACCGTGTACCGTTCAATTTCCCCACCTCCGAGACCAGCCTCCTTATGTCCAGTCTTTTCATCTTGGCGCAGTGCTTTTTGTAGCGTTTCCTTTGCATCTCCTTCTCGTCCATCTCGCTGACCTCCCCTTGCGAGGTCAGCCCCTCCTCGGCCACCCAGGCGCTCAAAACGGTCTCGATGAAGCTGAACAGTTGCTGCACGTTGGGCTCCATTTTCGAGTAGGACATGTTGTGCGAGTTTAGATTGGCGTTCGCGCAAACTTGCAAAAGTAAATTGTCTCCGAAATGAACGGTTTTGTGTCGTCTGCGCTTTTGTAGGAGACTTTCGCCGTTGCAAACGTTATGACGGCCGCACTTGTTACCGCAACTTTTGTTCGATTCCACCATTTTTCTTTAGTTGCGATTCATAAACTTTGTATCAAACATAACTATTTATTTATTTATTTAATTAATTAATTAATTTTGCGTGTTTATTCCCTCCTAATTTAAAGGCACTGTTCGTTCACTGCACTTAAATTTAAGGCATTTACACTTTGAACAGTTTGGCAATATCACAGGAAGTTGACGATTAAACCTGCATTAAATTACGTATCTAAATCGATCATTTAATAGTTATTTACGATATAAGTGGGATAAGAGCTTTATTAACGTACACATGCGAAATTTGCCCAACGAGTGCGTAGCACGAGTTGGGCAATCGCAAAAGTACGTTAATAAAGCGTTATCACACGTATATTGTACAAATTTTTATCTACGCCTCTAAATGAAAAAATAAACGGTAATTATTTTTGTCTAAGACTTAATTTAGGGTTATTTTGACATTTTGACTTTTTTATTTGATTGGTTAAAAGCAGAGAAAAACGCGTGCGTTAATGAACTTCTTATCTCACTCAAAATGAGTAGGATAAGAAGTTCTTATCTCACTGGCGTAGATAAATTAAATTAATTAACGGAAAATGATTTATTTTCACAAAAAGTTACAATTACTTTTAATAAAAAAAAACAAGTGTACAATAACATTTATTATTTTGTGACAATACGCAGAAAAAAATGTTGTTAGCAAACAACATGGCTATGCAATAAATTTATCAAACAATATGTATCAATTATTTTTATTTTTATTTGTAATGTTTATTTTAATGTTAAAAATTGAAAACCCCACACATGCTACGTCGTTATGTTTTAACTAAACTCAGTTTGTTTACAATTTTATATGTATAATATGTACAATATCAGGCGAGTTCGCGTCTATTTGATGCTGCTTGAGGCGAGAGAATTGGAGCTTGCTCTAATTGTTGGTTTTATATCCCATGACTGAAGATGTGGTGGGTGGCAGTTTGTGTTGCAGTGTGTGTAGAGCGGGTGTTTTTATATTTCATAGTTTTTGTCTCAACTAGTAAAAATTATTGTTTTATTATTGTGGTCCATACAGGTGTAATTAGCAGTTTTTATTAAGCAACAAGTCGTATAAGTTTCAATTAAGGTTAGGTTTTTAAAATAAGTTTTATTTAGTTAAATATTTTATTTTTTTTTAAATGAATCCTGTTCATAACAATATTCACTCAATAATTGAAGAAGAAACAAAACTGAAAAAAATACAGATATTGGGCAGTCGTCCAATGCCAAAAATTTCATCAATATTTAACGATAAGAGGCAGGGTAAGCAATATTCAACTTTCAAATATCTTGGTGCGAAACCTATAAGTGGATATGGGGAAGTATTTATAAACAAAGCTTATTTTGTTGGCATTGTATTTTATTAGGCCGCGTCAAAAACAATTGAAGTTCAATGGGTAGGTATTCTGATGGCTCTGATATTTTATTTGTTTTATATGTATGTATATACATAAATAAATATAAATATAAATAATATAAATAAATAAATATAAAGTATAAATCAATATATTTTTAAGTTCCAGATATATATTTTAAGGTTTTAAAAAACAAATTTGTTATATTTATATTTTCTTTGTTTTGGTTTTTTTAGTTTAATTTTTTAATAATTTTTTTCCCTCTCCCCTTTACTGTGTGTTTTTAAGAAAAGTCAAATTTACCATTTTGCAGGCTTTCTTTTAAAAAAATCAAATTTCTTGACCTGACACACAATTTTTAAATGAATTGAGAGGGTCCTTTAAATAATTTTAAGCAATTTTTGTATTGACCATTGTATGTTTTTCCAAAGATATTTTTCTGCAAAATTATTGTTAAAAAAATATATTTTATCTATTTTTCGTTCATAATGACTTCATTATAACACCGCTTTCGGTGATGTAATGAGATACTTTATCCCACCCAAAATTTTGATTTTCTAGGTTGGCTATACTTTAAACAGCATAATATTTTCCAAATTGGTTATAATATTTTTTTGATTTTTCTAGTACTTACGAGACTTTTCTGGCAATAAATTTTGTTAAACCAAAGAAAATCATTTTTTTTCTTCTTTAACATTAACAGCCGCTTATTGTAAATAAGTATATTAAGGATGGCATGGCGAATCGATTTTGACATTAACTGTCAAACCAATGACTGATACCAACTATCGAAAGTAAAATTCGACCAAATTAAATTTAAGGTATAAAGTTAATTTTTTTATAGAATTTTTGCAAAATAGATAAAATAGCATAAAGAACTCATGTCATAAGACCTTTTGTTGCACTCGTCCATTACAAAACTCGCTCTTTCGTCTCTCATTTTATAAATTGTCCGTGTGCGACAAAATGACGTCTTATGACATTAGTTCTTTAATATACTATTTTAGAACTATAATTTGTATTATTGATTCTTTGTACCTACACCCCAATAACAAAAATTACGTTACGTCTAGGTTAATTAATAAAAGTAAAATCAAACCCACGCGCTATAATCCCATACAATTTTATTTCGCGATTAATTGGATGGCCGTCAATATTCCCAACATAACAAAATAAAAAGCGAGGGGCGCGAAACGCGCCTGCAGCGCCTTGTTAAAATTTGATCAAATGTCAGAGGCTTTTGAAGCGCTAAAACGTTTTAATATCAGTCTAAAGTTAGGTGGTGTTCGTTGTTGAAAGTTTAAATTAAACGGGGCTGAGTTTTTCGAGTATTACATGTTACAAATGTTGTGTTTAAAGGCGGGTAATAAAACAGTTCCCAACTATCCTACCGACTGCGCTACATATTCTAAACGTATTTGTTTTATGTTTCCAGTTACGTTTAACTCATTTAAAATGCTTACTTGCGATTTAATTGGTCAATTGTTTGTAGCACCACACCAAAGGTCCATTAGAACCTATTAAGCTACAATTATCTTAAAACAAAGTTCACGATTTACAATATGAATAAGTATCATTGATATTTCTAAACTATCCTACTGACTGCGCCATAATATCAAAATACAAAGTGCATTCCAATGTAAACAGGTAAAATAAGAACAGAGCAAAACTCATTTACTTTATTTCAAACAGTCTTGAGACTTGATGCAGCGATTTGAAGGGTTAAGAAACATTAAGAATGAGTTTTTTAGGTCGTATAATGAAATGAGTCCTAGGATGTCGGTGTAAGCCTTTTAGATGGCTTTAATGTCCGCATAACGCTTCCCTTTTATCGAAAATTGGTGGTTAATGGTTAAAATTCGATTTTTTTGTAACAATGTATTTTGAATGTTAAATTTTAAGCAGTTTTTAGTCATACATTGACCGGCAAAAGTATGGAACAAATTCATTAAAAAATTCGGCTTTTTTCACAAAAAAAATCCTTCAACAGGTTGATTTTGTTTTGAAATTACGCACATTTTGATGTACAATTTTCATATTTTCCACCATTTTTGTAGAAACTCTGAAGTAATCGGCCATTCTTTTAAATTGTATCCCCTCTTTTTTGGGGATTTAAAATTATGAATTTAGCAATATGCACATTTATACCTTTTGTGCTGATAGTTTCGGAGATATTAAAGTTTATTAGTTTTTATTAAAATACTTTTTAATGGGGTTTTAATAAAATTAAATTTTTAATTCTCAAAATATTTCATTTCAATGTCAAACTTTTTCAATTTTGTTATTCAACCAATAGCAAGTGTTAGCGTATAATTTAAAGATATTTCAAAACCTGGCCGTTCGAGTATTGGTGAAGACACTAACATTTACATTTTGTTACGTGTGAAAGAAGATCCTCACAGTGCTTCTAGCCTAGTCGTATTACGTCTTATGAAGAAAAAAAAGTACCATCCATACCAAATTAGACTACTACAGGAACTTAACGAAGATGATCCGGACCGTATACTACAATTTTGTGAAACAATGATGAATTTATGTAACAATAATCCACACTTTTCTAGTAAAATACTTTTTTCGGACGAAGCTGCCTTCTGTTTGAATGGTATAGTCAACCGTCAAAATTGTCTGCAGCAGAGAAAATCTTCATTGAATATGACAAGACAAATGTATTTGGAATTTTTGCAAAACTCTCTTCTTTCCACATTAGCAGAAATGTTTCCCAATGAGAATGGAGGTCACGATCTACCAAGTAATACCATTTGGTTTTAACAGGACGGGGCACCTCCGCACTATGCGCGTCTGTCCGTACTTTTTGGACACATGTTTTCCTGAGAGGTGGATTGGAAGACGAGAACCGATAGAGTAGCCAGTGAGATCTCCAGATCTCACCCCTTTTGATTATTTCTTATGGGGCTATCTTAAATCAAAGGTCTACATCAACAGACCACAAAAATTAAGAAGATGTAAACAATAAAATTCGTAAAGAATGCCGCTTTATTAGTGCGAAAGTCTTCGGATAGGCTTGCTTACTCTCAAGAAACCAACGGGGAGCTATTTATTAATTGGTTAATGTATCCATTAAAAGCATTTTCATAAAGATAAAACATTTTTTTATGGAAATAAAAACTTTAAATCACGAACTTTCAAATTAATATTACCCAAAACTTCTGTTATGCACACTGTTTAAAATATCTGTGGTGTAAAGAGTAATCTTAAAATGGTTTCAAAATCCAATACCAAGTGGTGTTAATATAAACACCATGAATTATGGTTTAAAATCATAAACACTAAAAATATTTGAGAAGTTCACCTACACAGAAAAAAAGGAATAGTTCATTTAACTATATTAATTTAGTTGACCCATAAGTATTTATTTAAACTGTGGGAATATAAACAAAGATTAGTTTGACGGTACTAAACCAGATAGTTATTTTATTTTTAACTTTATTGAAACCAACCCGCTGTATGGTTCAGTTTACTAAATATGTTGTTTGTAAAATAAGAGTTACTTCAACCTTAAGCAGCCTGTTAAGACGATTAAAACAATTTGCCGTGCATTCCTGGTTGCATAGTGGGTACCGATCGAGGCAAAGGCGGTATGCATCACGTGATGTTCTTAAATCTCGCCTTTATTAACTTACATGAAGAGTATATAAGCTCAGGTAGTCCTTTGCGTTGGTGTGACACTACAAGTTGTTCGATAATAAAGAGACCTTAAATAGGTG